AAAAAATGTGTTCGGTTGTTCATTCTGAGGTTTCTTTGTCTGGAAAGAAAGTACCAGGTAGAACATTACAGAATCCTCTTCTGCTCCATTTTCCAGCAACCTCCTTGTCCCCATGCATTCCAACTCTGATGTCTCTATAGAGGTTAATAAATTATTTTCAAACTAACACTCGAGAGAGCCTGATGGCACCTGGACAGGTGTGGGGAGCTAGGGGGTGAGGAGTGGCCATCAATTTTGATCCAAACCAGGTCAATGGCAGATGAAAGCTCTTGTCTGTTCAGTGGCCTTTGTGAAATGAAGTGGTGCCCGCCATCCAGGTTCTGGACAGTTCTCTTCCTCACAGAAAGGCTCACCACAACTGGCACCAATGGGCTCTCTTGCAGCAATTGGTTGCATCTTTCCTCTTCCTTCTTCCTTTCCATCTTTATTTCCCCTTCTCTCTTCATCCGCCCCCACCACCCTTTCCCCCCCCCCTTCCTCTGCTTACCAGTAGGTGGCCTGGAAAAAGAGCAGCCACAGTTCCTGAGGGAAGAATGCAATAATACTGGGATTGTGCCCTCTGCCAGCGCCTGCCTGCCAGGAGCTCCAGAAGGGCTGTGGGGAGAGAGCTCCTGCGTCCCACAGCGCCCGCCTTCTCTGCCTTAGCCCCGAGTCGCTTTGCTCAAGGTGTGTCAGCGTTTACTCTGGGATTGTGTGTTTTATCCATTGAGCTTCTCCTTTCACCACAAGGCAGGGAACACGGCTGTGTTTGCAGAATGGATGGGCCCATGGGGAATTTGGAGTGATTCAGGAGTTGTGGTATAAACCTTTCATCACAACTCCCTCTCGGGCACAATCAGGACAAACGAGAGGCAGAAGGTTGTACAGTTTGTGATTCTTTTCTCTGATAAGAGCTGCACTAGCTTGCAGGGTATGTCCAGTAACCACGCCTGCCTGTCTTTTCCAGACATTTTAGGAGTTAAAATTATTGTATTTATTCTACAAAGTTTTTTATAAAGTAAAAATGAAACACCAATTTTTTTTTCTTATGCATTGGAGAATCATTTGAGTGAGAAGGAATAAAATTATATGGAACTAAGACTGTTTGAAAAAGCACAGAATGAACAGAATTCTTTGGATGCTCTTTGGCTCTTTTACATATAAAGGTGGGAGCTGCCATGTTGGAAACTTTCAAGTCCGCTCTGAGCTCACTGCATTTCCTCGGTCTTACTTTAAGACTCAGGAAAAACTCACCATTTATTACTTTTGCACCTGAAGGAGACAATGGTAGAATATGATATTTTCTTATTAAGAGGAAAAAAAAATGATTCTACAAATCTAAAGCATTTTGCCCTGGGCTGTCTCTTTTAGGCATTTCAAACCGGTGTACATCATTATAGGGGGAAATACAACCAGCATGCCACATGTTGGCTTGTGTTTAGATCATTACAATGTAGATGACTGAGGTCACTTACATGATCAAGAAGATATCCGAACCTGTTAAATGGTCATATGAAATGTAAACAAGGAATTTGGGTTGGGGCAATGTTGAACAGGTGTTTAATAAAACAGGTGCTAAATCCTTTGCATTTTAGAACATAAGATTACCAATGGACTCCTTTTGGTAAGAGTTGTGATGCTCAGAGCAACGACAAGGACCCATAAGACAGTTAAAAGAGAAAAATTTGGTGTAGAATTTGGGAAAATATCCCATACCCAGTTGATTCTCCAACCATGCTCAGCCACTTTTGGTTAACTTATGATTATTTTGTTATTGAGTATAAAATTACTTGAAGATCAAAATGCTAAATAATATTAATAATTATGACAAGCAACTGTGAACCACATAGAAAATGAGAATTAACTTTGCAGAACTATAATTTCCAAGGTTGGACAGACAGATTGTTTGGTAGAAGAGTGACTTCTAATTTTGTGATTCAGTTATTAATTCGTTCAGAAAAAAAAATGATAGAAGAAATCTGAGAAATGACATGACCTGATTGGCCATGTGCCTTTTTGCTCTCACATTTTTTACAGCTGCCTTTCAACACTTCTGGGGAAAAAGGAAAAAAAAAAAAAAAAAGAAAAACAGGAAAGGAAAAAACATCATCCATCAGCATCATAATTCTGACTTACAACCATTTATAGTTTGGATGTGTTTGGAACTTTGCATTTAAAAAAGAAAGCCTTTTCTGATTTCCCCACTAATTCTTCTTAGTTTGCCACTTCCAAACATATCTCAGTCTTCGAGAACAAATGACAAGGGAGGCGGAATTTGGTTTACAACGGATGAAGTTTCTACCTCAGAGGAGCATTGGCTGAATTCAAACAAAGTGGAATGACTGAGAGGGGTGAGATTCTCAGGCTTGGGCAGTGAGAGGAAGCATCATTTCCTGAGCCCACACCTCCTTCTGTCATTGTTGGCTGAGACTTGGTCTGGCACCCACATGTAGCTTTCCCATCTATACTACTTCAAATACCATGTTGTCACCTCCTCCTCTTTGTCCTTTCTTTTCTTCCATAAAGACATTGAGAGGTTTAAGAATAAGTATATGTTATATACGTAATATTCTTTTGTTAATAATGTATGCAGATCCTAGGACAAAATTTTCTCTGTGGTTTCTAACTTTTTTTCTAACCTCTGAAGTCTTCTCTATAAACTTAGTTCCTGGGATGGAGATCCAAAATACATAGTGGGCCAAACAGGACAGAAACGAAGGAGTCAGGCTGTAGGGAGTGGTGAGGGTTGTGTCACTGGGAAAGTCCACGCACAATTCCAGGACACTCCGCTTCTTTTCATATTGTATGTGAATGGCGCCCCCTAGTGTGGAGCAAAGCAGAGGCCCTCCACATGCCTGATGTATTCATTCATTTACAACATCCTCATTGAACATTGCTCTAAGTGCTGAAGAGGTAACAAAGAACAAAGCAGACAAGAATCCCTGGTCTCAGACTACCTAAAGGCATCTTCTTTGATTATTTTTTAAAAAAGGAAAAAAGCACCCTGCCAACCAAACAAAATGCTTCTGGATGCAGACTTTTGCCCCTGGGTCCACCTATTGATGACCTCTGCTCTAGGCTTTTACATTATTCCTGTGATCTTGCAGGTTTTAGCCACAGGGACAAAATACAGCAATGCATTGACCACAGGTTTGCCTCCAGTGCTTAGCTCATGCTTACTAAGAGCTCTATGCAGTAGAAAACTCAGATAATTTTCAATTAAAGTTTCACATTCCATCCGAGTGTCTGTACTTGCCACTCCTTCTTCCAAGGAAACATTTCTTAGGTAAGAGGGGAAGAAAAACTAAATAGGGTGGGAATGATGGCATGGCGCTCAAGCATTAGCTGTTCAAGTAACTGTCCTAGAGACCAGTGGAGAGGCAAGTCATTGAGGTCAATGTGGCGCCTTGCACCAATCCAGAGTTTCTCTAAACATCTATACATTTTAATTTCTTTCAAGCCCAAAGGAAGGTTTCCTAAAGCTTCAGGTCTCTTAGGGGTTATACTAACAGAAGCAGGAAAGTACTGAATTAAAAAGAGCTTTCTTACCAATCATTCATTTCTCAGCCTTATGGCATCTGAGTGCCATCCAATGGAAAGTTTTAATTTCATCTTCATGGAAGCAAAATAAAGCTCAGAGAAGGTCGGGTCACCTAGCTCTTTTTGTGTCTAAAAGATTTATGTGTGTGTGTGTGTGTGTGTGTGTGTGTGTGTGTGATTGGAAGCTTCAGTAAAACTAAAAAGAAAACTTAGTATTAAGTTTCCTCAAGAAGCTTTAGAGAAATGCTGTGATGGTACTCAAATAGTATAAAAGTCTTCTCACAACCCAAAAAACTTTGCATTTTCTTAAATAAGATCATGACTCAAAAATATTTAAAGGACCTAGGTCACACATATAATGAAGAACAGAGTGATGGTATAAAGGTGTAAAGAGCATATACCATTTCTCTAAAGAAATGGAGCAAAAAGCATCTGGACTTACTCTTTCTCTTTTCTACCTGCCTGCCAGGATCCTTTCTTTCCAAAACCCCTAATCAATTAATAATGATAATCATAGGAGAGATGTTACCACTTTAATTTACACATTATATTAAACGACTCTGCCCTGAGTATGAAAGCATTTCTTGAAAGCTGTCAAAGGTATAATTTTTTCTCTCTCTTTAAATCACAAAGCAAAATTCCAGTGTCTCTCCCCAACCCCTTCTTAAAAAAAAAAAAAAAAAAAAGTTGTCGAGTTTTGCTTTTCTATTCACTGCAGTCTGGCCAAAGTAAAGCCCTCTTTCTCAATGACGTCAAGATCTTTAGCAAGATTAGGCTTTCATTTCTCTATTGCAGCAATTAGCCAGGGAATGTATAAAAGGCTTCAGGGAGCCTCGCTGGGCGCAGAGAGAGGCGTTTTGCACCACATACAGATAGCAGGAAGGAAAAGCCAGAGGAGTGAGGAAAAGAAGAGCCAGGTCTTCTCGCTCCTGGGGAAGGGAGAGAGTGAGACAGGCTGGGAAAAGCAGAAGAACAGAAAGTTGTGTGTAAAACGGAGTAAAGAAAGAAAAAAGAAAGAAAGAAACCACCCTTAAAGCACATTTAAAAAAAAAAAAAACTCTGGCAATTCAAGAAAGAAACAGGCTACGTTTAAAGAACATAGAGACAATGAAAAGCTAAAGAAAAAATTTGCAGTCTCTGCTACAGTCTCATAGGTACTTGGAAATGAAAGTAGAGCTGCCTGTCTTTAACGGACTCTGACAGGGGTAACTGGATTAGGGACGGGTATGCCAGTTTCTTTTTTTTTTTTTTAAACATCTTAAATCCTGAAAAAAAAAAAAAAAAAAAAGCAGCAGCTCCGAATTGAATGAATTGATGGGCACACTCCAACTGCTGGGCTGGAGAGACTGAACTTGGTCTTGCCATTTCTGCTTCTTTGAAAGAGGAGACAACTTGGGCTTCTTTTTAATTTAGTTTTTCTCCTTCTCCCGAACTATAATCACCTTCCCCTTACCTCCCCCACCCCCCCATCACCACCCCCCTTTTAAATAAGAGGGTGAAGGGGAACCAGAGCGCACAAGGGGACTGACTCAGGAGGCAGAGAAGATGGGTATCCTCAGCGTAGACTTGCTGATCACACTGCAAATTCTGCCAGTTTTTTTCTCCAACTGCCTCTTCCTGGCGCTCTATGACTCGGTCATTCTGCTCAAGCACGTGGTGTTGCTGTTGAGCCGCTCCAAGTCCACTCGCGGAGAGTGGCGGCGCATGCTGACCTCAGAGGGACTGCGCTGCGTCTGGAAGAGCTTCCTCCTGGATGCCTACAAACAGGTGAGCTGACCCCAGAGGGCTCCTCTTTAGGTCAACCAGGCGGGGGGGGGGGCTAGAATGTTGGGGGCTGGAGGCCAAGGGAGCATTGGGGTGACAGCTGTGAACTTGTATCTGGGGACCTGCCTAGTGGTTCTGTGAGGGGTGCTGTGAGGTTGAGTGAGCCTCTACCTTTACTTTCTACACCTGTTGCACAGGTTTGATTTGGGAGTGACAGATATTAAGCCCTCAGGACTCTGTATGACCTAATAACGAGTCTTTTCAATAAAGGTTCTTATTATCTTGCTGTGATTCTGGAGTAGAGGATTTTGAGCCCCTAGAATAACTTCAGGTAAAGTCAGAAAATGTTGGGGGAGGGGAGATGCTGCGTTTGTTAGGCTGTTATAAAAGCAGGAATTTTGATGCTTTGCTTGATAGGAGGTGCACTTAGGAAAGACAGTTCAAAACTGTCAGAGAATTGACATCAAAATATTCCTGGTAAGTGAGACTGAGCATCACAGCAGCTTTGTTTCTGGTAGAGGTGAGAGTTAATAAGAGCAAGCCTGGGATTTCTGAGTCCCTAGTTACTGGCTATCAGTTTGTAAAAGAGAGATCTGCAAAGTGCCTGTCAGGAATCCAGACTTTGTAAGGGAAACCAAATTTACTTTGTTTCTCCAAGTAAAAACATAGTGTGGTCAGAGCTGATGGATCTGCTTGAGTATACCTTCTTCTGCCTTGAGCTTTAGAGCTTTAGTAGCCTGCCTTATCTCTGAGAGTGTTGTCTCCAGCTACTTTTGAAAAACCAGAGCTGAATTCTGGTGTGCGTATCTGCTTGGAGATATTGGTGGAACATTTTCAACTGAGATCTTAAGGGGCAAAGAGGAATGCTTGGTCACCTGGCCTTTGTCAGTTTGCTCCCATCCCCTACTTACGCTCAGCAAGGATGGCTCCTGAAGACCCTCTGGGTTTAGGAAGAGATAATTCATTTGGCAAAACATTGTTACCAGAGGAGACTCTCCTAGTTTTCCCCAACAGTATTGGGGGATGTTGTAGAAGACATCAGGATCAGGAGTCTGCGAGGAATATTGAAGCCAGGTGTTCAACGCAGTGGCACATGTAAAGCAGACAGAACCTCAGAAACAGAGACAGCAATAATAGAGGGGAAAGGGAATGAATCTTCTGTAAATAATCACTAAAAAAAAATAAAGCTCTGCACCAGGAAAATAGAAGAAGCAAAGAAGTCAGGGCAGGGTTGTTCCACTGAAAACTCAAATGTACAAGAGAAGAATATCTGTTGTGAATTAGGGAATTTTCACTGTAACACATGTCTTTTGTTATTGAGGTCACCTGCAGAGGGTTTGCATTTATTGCCCTAAAGACAGGTGAATAGTAAGAACTCTTATTAGTAAATGTCAATTCCTTGATGCAAATAGGAATGGATGCTCAAAGTCCTAATAGTAAAATTTCATTTATATTATGTATGTGGAGGCAGATGAAAAATGTGGGCAAGTAGGTGCTGAAATGATCAGATACAAATGTACATATTGAATGTGAAACTTTTATCTTCTGCTCTAAATAAAGGCAGGGAATTTGGAGGAGGATGAGTACACAGGCATATGAAATATTATTAATTAGGAAGTTCCCTCATCTGCCTCTGTATTTTGCATGTCTTAGCTGATAACATGGAAATGTCAGAGTCTTGATCTCCTTATATTAAAGTCTTGCTTTTTGGAAATACAATCAACTTTTGCTTATAAAAGAAAAAAAATAACTTCTTGAGAGAATTTCACTTATGTGCATATATGTCTAATATAAATGTCATCTCTTCATTATATCAACTCTAGGAGCTATAATGTTAATCACCCTTACCAAGTTTCCCCCCTACTAAGCAGCTTAGTGAGATAGAAATGGGAAAGTAAACAAATGCTTCCATAATAAATTTGATTATTTATATTTTAACTAATGTACAGTGTTCTGTTGTGTTGTAATATGTCATTATCCACGTTCTAGGAAATTGGAAAGGCTGAATGATTTGCTTATTCCTTTGGCATGTGGTTGGCATCTTCCTCTTCTGTCATTCTTTGTCTCTACCTACTGATTTATTACTGGCCAAGTTTATGACTGAAGTTATTAGGCTTTTAATGATTTATGTCATCGTTACCATGTACAGAAGCAACCCCAGGAACCAACTATCCAGAGATAAGACTGGACTGGGGTGTGTAATGAATGGAAACACTGAGGCACAGCTTGAACTGAATTTTAGTATTTTTCTGGCTTCAAGTATGACTGGGGTAGTGGTTGCTGCATTGGCTTTTGAGGGTCACTCAGAACCTCTCAAACAGGTTGAGTTACTTCACGGAATGCTGTTGCCATCTGTGCTACTGTCTTTGGGCGTGGCTGTTTCTAGAGGCCCTGGAGGAGGCTCTGCCTGAGATGGCATCACAGTATTTCCCAACTTTGACTTGCATTATTGTGAGGCTACCACCCCAGAAGCAGAGATTTCTAGAATGAGGGGCGTGTCCATGTGGGATACAATTAGACATATCCTTTTCTAGCTTTCATTCTCCCCAGCGGGGGAATGTCAGATACGTAGGAAGACATTTAGAGAAATTGTATGAAAAGTATGATCCTGTGTTTTACCCACACCAGAGGCAGCACGGATATAATTTAAAAAAAAAGGGGGGGGACAAAATTAAATTTAGTAGAACACTTGTTTATTAAAATACTGAAAGATTTAAAGTTAAATTGGATTGGTAAGAGGGGATTCTGTACAAAAGTTTGATTGAAAAGTCAGTCTTTAGAAACTCATGAGAGACTCTGAAGTCAGTAAGAGGTGTTTGTTATTTAAGTTTCTTGAGTCGGTGTCATTGCATCTGAACACTGGATCCTTGTGTTGGTGTGCAAAGACTCAGAAAACACAACCAATAAGCAAACTTTCCTGTCTGGGAGTCCGGCTCTTGCCTAAATGAAGTGTAAAAGTCAATACACAGTATGGATGCTGACAAGCAGTTCAGTTTCTGCACGGTTAATATTTGCAGCGATACAGAAAACATATTCATTTGAACCTGTAATTTGGGTTCTGAAAGGGTCTCTTTAACATTCTCCTCCTCCTCTTCATTCACCTCCAGCCTTTTGACACAAGTTCCTACAATGGAAAATGGCTCCTTTAAGAGAGAGACTGTCCCCCAAATATTACAAAGAAGGCCACAGCCAGGGCTTGTCCATCACTTGGCTAACTCACTGGGACATGACAGGGCTCACAGCTGCTTTTTCTAGGTACAAATGAAAGAATTGGCGAAGACGGGCACTGAGGTTAGAAGGAGCAGGTAGTTTGTTCTTCAGCCCGGCTTATCTGGCCAATCTGAAGGCAAGTGGTTAAATCTCTGCTTGATGGCTGCTTGATCATGTTTCCAAGGCTGTTGATGTAGCCTGATGATTATATCAAAGATTTTGAGAACTTCCTGGTGTTAATAAAGCCAGTTCCAGGACTTTGGATAGCAAGGAGTATGTGTAAACATTCTGCCACGCACCCATCCCCCATTTGTAAGATTCACTTTTCTTTTTGTCATGAGACTATGTGGATAGTTTATGCAAAATCCTTTCTCTGGAAAGCAAAGCAAAGCAAAACAAAGAAACAAGAAGAAGAAGAAGAAAAAACCACCAAGGTTAGTGGTATATGCTCTGTTTCTGCTCTCACTGGATGAATGGTTCTTTCTTCCCCTTGCCCTGCATTTCACAGTCCAGAAGCAGCATCCTCTTCCCTTATGCCCTGAATGGTGTCAGTAAAAGGGATCCCAACATCAAGGGAATCGTATGTTTATACTTGCTATGTATTTATGCTCATGTTCACACTCACAAACACGTCCCTTGCAGCCCCTGAACTTGGGCCAGAGAGCCCTCTGTTGTAAACATGCAAATTCTTTATTTGCTGCCTTTGTTGGTGTTGTTCATGTTGCTTGCAAAAGCATAAGAAAGGACAACTGTGACTAGGTGCAAATGAGAGAGATAAAAGTCAGTGATGACGATATCACATTTTACGTATGTCCTTTCTGATCCTTGTGAAATAAAGGGACCCTTTGGGAACATCGGAACTTCAAGACCAATTAGTGGAAATGATGCTTCTTGTGTTTGGGCATTAAATACTGGGCAGGGTTCTCTTTAGAGTGGCTAATGCTGGCAGGGAAAGAGGTACCGACCTAATTACTCTTCCGCAAGAGTAAAAAATGCCTTTTGAATGCCTCTTTGGCAAATATGTCTCATTAAGGACAAAAACCAAACACAAACCCTCTAAGAAGGAGAAATTAAGATGATAGGTAACTTGTGGCCAGGAGACTTTCTGTGCCACTGTGGGAAATTAAAACAAAGTTTGGGAGTACCAGGGGATAACTTGTTTTTGTTGAGCTTCTTTCCTGCAGCCTTAATGTTATTATGGGACCAACTTTATTTTCTTCATCATCTTGGCTCCGTGTCAAGGAATGCTTTCCTCCTGGGGAGAGCAAAGAATTCTCCACCGTGGAAGACGATGGTGATTCTCCAATTCCATCTCAGCAGGGTTGTTAACCAAGCAAACCAAGAAATTCTGCACTGGAAACTTTGGTCTAATAGGAATTTAATTTTCATGGCAATCAAACCCAGAGATGAGAATGAACAGTAATGTCCTTTGAAAAGGTTTTTGTTTTGTTTAGAGCAAACTGAAATCTCTTCTTCTTTATTTTAGCTAAGTTGTCCTCTATCGGGTTTTAGCAAAGATGGACAGTTTATGATTAGTTATATGATGCTTGCAAAAGCAGACCATGGGTCAATTAATATTTGGACTTATGGGTCACAGGTGTCTGTTTTTCCTTCTTAGCATTATTAATAGCATTAATCATACCTATGCATAATCTCTTACCTGGTCACCTTCATGAATGAGAATATCTGTGCATTTATGACATTCTAGCCTATAGTTGAATCCTGTGGCGGCTCAACACAATAAAGAAGATTAGCCACATTTGTTTTCTTCACTAACCAGCTGAGATAATCAAGAGCAAATCAACCACATCAGGTGTTGATTGTGGCAGTAATCTACAGGAGGTCTCTGGGATTCATATTTCTCAATTTATCTGCCTCAGTGAGTTTATCCATCAGCCAAATGTGATTATTTCACTGTGGGTCAAGTTTATTATTAAGTGTAAAATTCCTCACTGATCCAGGATTTGATAATCCATTCAACAAAAATTTTAAAACGTGTGCATCCTAGCCTAACAAAATGCTAACTTCCCCTCCCCAAAGAGCATCACGTGTTTGGTAACTTTCCTAATTTTTAACTTTAGAGTGACAGTGTTGTACTTGTCCTAGATTTTCTAAGGCATACTAGTCAGATTTGGAAAGACTTCTTTGGATGAATTGTTCGTTCCAAGAAGAGAAGTGTGCATTAACTTTCTAAGAAAATTAACTGCAGGTAACAAGAGATCACCTGTGACCAAAGCATCAAATTAGATTATTCAGTTGAATAGTCAGGAAAACACAAGGATCAACAGGTCTGCTTAGGTGAGAGTTAGGGGGTCAGAGGCTTTTTTATCAAGACCATACAATTGTTTGTAGGTCTCACCAGTGACTCCAAAATGCAGGGGGATGTTTTCACTCTCCCCCAAACCTAATAGTCAATAGTGCAGAGATTATTTTTCTCCTGTGTGAAGGTTGCTTACTTAATCAGACATCTCTATAGTGATATGAATGCATTTAGGTTGTCTTATCACAGTATGTTGAGGAGCACAGCACATACCGTTCTGTTGAAAGCAACCCTTCTAGAATAATTACTAGTATCTTAGTAGAAAAGATCTAATGAGAAGGTGTTGGGGATGCCGGTCACCACCTGCATCTACAAAAAAAAATAAATAAATAACCCATAGAACCCACAGATTAAAAAGGGTTTAAAATCTTTAAAATATGTATCTTTAAGTGTGAAGTATATTTTAGTACACCAAAGACTAGCATAGTTCACCTGAAATAATCCAGTTAAAGGTGGCTTCTCAGATTCCCCCATCTAGAGTCATTTGCGGATTAGCCAAGAAAATTAATATAATAATTTCCCACGGGTAGTGACTGAACCCAGATGTGTTTGTTTAAATCACACCAACAGCTTTCTTGTCTGAGGAGAAAGATGATTATTTTAATAATTCTTTTAGGAAACAAATAGTACCTGTTTCAAACCTGCCCTGATAGGATTTTTGAGAAGGGAGAGAAAGAACTTCTTTTCTTTCTCTAGTGTTAAAATGAGTTATGCATTAACATTGGATAGAAGCCGCTGAATAAAAGCCTGGGTGTTTTTTAATCAGTTTGGATTGTTACATCTTAAACAATTCACTTCTAAGTGACTTCAGTCAGCAGCAGCGTTATGTGTGGCTGTATTTATATGAGGGGAAATAAGTCGATCCAGTTGGAAGTGTTTTGTAATATTAAAGATAGTGTGTAAGAATCAATTTTACTGCCATAAGCTCTCCCTAATGTTATTGGCTTTGATTAAACCATTCTAGGGAAAGATCCAATTGTGTTAATTCAAACTGAAGTAATTGGCTCTTTTATGTTGCCTGCTTTTTATTATCAATTTACAGATCTAAAGGCCACAAACTTTCTTTTATTATTCAGTGTTCAACTATTTTAACCATGTGCAACTGCTTTAACATGGCACGATATCTGACGACACTTCTTTCACCTGGAAATTCTATCATTCAGAGGAGCTTGTTGATAAATTATATTATAGAAAAATGTATGGTTCGTGACTTCCTAGGTGAAGTGGGGGGAAACAAATAAATAAACAAAAAACACATGTAAAATGAGAAATTAACCAACAGTAGGATTATGTTTTTGTTTTTAGTGAAAATTAGAAGGTTCTAGTCATAAGAACCATACCGAAGCAGTAACAGTGAAAAACTCTAGGGAGGTATCATGCTGGGGAAGAGCCCCAATCTCTTCTCAGGATTATTTATTTATTTATTCATTTTAAACACAAGACTTCCCAAGAAAAGTGTTATTCTCTTTCAGAGGGTACACTGATAATGCAGTAGGGTAGCTGATAATGCAATATTCACTCACGCAGAGCTTTCAAGTGCTCTTTTCCTTATATTATCCTCTAATACCTGTATGAGGAAGACAGGCGTTATTATCTCAGTTCTATAGATGGGAAATTGCGGCAGAGTTTGAGTCAGTAGTCCTTGTTGTCAGTGATGGGTTCCAGACTTTCTGGCTCTGGCCAGGATTGGAGCCCATTTGTGTTATCGTATATTGGTTGAGATTAAAAAGCTTAGTACCATAGGTGAAAACTTAGGTGATGCTTGAGTATTTTATAATTCAAAAAGAGGCAGTATATCCCAAGACCCTGATAATGTGTCTTGAAGGAGAGACCATTTGCTTCTAACTTTGAAAATGAAGTCAATTAATCACTTGTTTGCTAAGTATTGACAGCAAAGTAAGGCTAGTCAAGAATACCAACCTCAACTTAATTATGAAAAGAGGTAACTGCAGTGTCTTCCAAGATGAAAAGAATTACTGTGCAGATGAGAAAGATCCTTATTCTCTTGGCCATCCTTTATGTCACCTGTCATGCCTCCTTCTTCCTCAAATCAATATACGTTTGCCCACAGCCTCTGAAGGAAATCCCACTTTTTATTAGGGTCAATTGTATCAGAGTCAGTTTTATTAGAGTGAATTGAAGCAGCAATGTGTTTAATATGGAATTCTTTCTTTCTCTTATGCCCTCACTACTAGGTGAAGTTGGGTGAAGACGCCCCCAATTCCAGTGTGGTGCATGTGTCCAGTCCTGAAGGCGGTAACCATGGTGGAAGTGGCGCCCAGGAGAAGACCTCGGATGGAGCAGAATGCCACCTTCTTGACTTTGCCAGTCCCGAGCGCCCACTGGTGGTCAACTTTGGCTCAGCCACTTGACCTCCTTTTACTAGCCAGCTACCTGCCTTCAGCAAACTGGTGGAAGAGTTTTCATCAGTGGCGGACTTCCTGCTGGTCTACATTGATGAGGCTCATCCTTCAGATGGTTGGGCGGTGCCTGGGGACTCCTCTTTGTCTTTTGAGGTGAAGAAGCACCGGAATCAGGAAGAGCGATGTGCAGCGGCTCAGCAGCTTCTGGAGCGTTTCTCCTTGCCGCCCCAGTGCCGGGTTGTGGCTGACCGCATGGACAACAATGCCAATGTAGCTTACGGGGTAGCCTTTGAACGTGTGTGCATTGTGCAGAGACAGAAGATTGCTTATCTAGGAGGAAAGGGCCCCTTCTGCTACAACCTTCAAGAAGTCCGGCATTGGCTGGAGAAGAATTTCAGCAAGAGATGAATTCTAGATTAGCTGGTTAAAGGTATGATTGTAATGGAGCTTATTATTTTTTAAAAAAGATATTATATAAAGGAGAGGAAACCAAGAACTGAATCCACGATTTCAACTGAGGCACATTGCCTCACCGAAAGACAGGACAGGCGTTTACCTGTCAGAAGAGCATAAACCTCTAACATCCCAGTACTTCTTTAACTACTCAAATGTCATTGGGCTAAATAGTAGCCCTGTTACCTCTCTTCTTGGGGAGAACCCCTGAGTGAAAAAATCCAAGTGGGGAAGGAAGAAATTCTGATTTCAGTGGGTGTTCATTCTTCCTTGAGAAAGAAGTGGTATTGCTTATGCAAGTAGAACCCAAGGGTTACCTGAATAATTACTGTGTTAGGGAAGCTATTATCCATGTAAAGGTAAAGTCTGTCACCTAGGCTTTAGAGAGCATGGGTAGAGCTCAACTGGAAAGTTCCCAAATACTGACTTATAATGCATCCTTGAACTCGGGCCACGTGGTCAAGGCCTTGGTGTTTCATGTGTTAGAGTAGGTGCTAGCCAAAGCGTTTCCTGCCAGGTGTATTTGTAGATACCGGGGGTGATTCCTCAATCTGCACGTTTAGAATGACCATATGAAATTTGAGGGTTACTTTCTAGGCAGATGGAGACAACTGGAAGAATATCAAAGTACCAGCTAGGAAAGAGAGGAGGCAGAAAGATTAGAAGACTTCACAGAGTTTCACCTTGAAACTTACAAAGGGAGACTAACTTGTTAGCCCCCAAAACATAGAAACTTTATATAAAGACAGAAAAGGAAAAAATTTATCTAAAAATAGCATAGAGAAAACATGTGAAAACAAGATATTTATCATATATTTCTATGTTGAGGGTGAAAAGGGGATTGAAAGGAAAAAAAACCCCACATGCTTAAATAAGTGTGCTATTGAGGACTTTTTTTGTATAATAATTACTTTATGAAACATGCATATGGTGTATATGTTTCAGTGGGTGAATTATACTTCATGATACCTGTCCAGGGAAACCCCAGTGGGTCTGATGGTACTGGGCTGTTATTCCCAGTTCCTGCACTTATAACGTGGCCCTACTCATTGCTAGTCTCAGTCTACAGAGGATGGCCGAGCTGAAGGCATTGGGGGCAGTACCCTGGCCATTCAGCTACAGCCGTGTTGTGTTTTCCTCCCAAAGTAGGTGAACTTCAGTGAATTAAAGGTGCAAACGATCATTCTTTCTTCAGTTGCAAAATTGGAGAAAGTTTAATTCCTATCAGTAATTTTGGAATCACTCATACAGCTACCCTTGGTATCAGGGAATTGGATAAAATGGGTTTTCTATTGACATTTGAATTTCAGTTTGTCCTTTAGTCCATAGCTGAGGTTCAGTAATCTAATTTCCCAAGAGCACATACTTGTAATTATATATATATATATATATCTTGTTTCCCTTTAAGATTAAAAACAGTATAGTTTTATACATAAGTAATATCTAAAGATTGTAACTTCCCCAAAAAATAGACAACAATTTTGTACCATATTTTTTTTATTTTAAAAAATTTGAGTATATTATCAAACCACAGTATATAGTTTAAAGACACTAACGTTCTTATGTCCATTTCTTTAATAGCTGTATCATAAAATAAAGCTAATAGGAAAAGATAATCAAAACTTGAACGTATCTTCTTAAACTAGTTGCCTGAAATGAGAAAAAAAGTGGGAAACTGGGTGTGCAGGAACCTAAAGTATTTAAAGAAAAACTGGAGCAAGAAATCAGTCCTATCAAATCAAGCTGGTATATTGTTTAGATATTAAAGCTCCATCGTGACACAATTATTTTTTTTACAACATCTAAACTTTCCAATGTTTTAAGTTCTACCAACAAAGACCCACAAGCAAACAAAGCAAAATTTGAAAATGTGATGTTATCTCATAAATTGCTGTAAAATCATACTGAGGCTCGATGGTTTCAGATTCCGCCATTGTTAAATTCTACAGTCAACCTTATCGGTAGCCCCCATTGATTTTTGTCTTCAAAATGGTGTTGAGATTTATGTGGTGCCCAGCAAAGTAAAATGACAAATTGGTAGCAGCACACCCACATCGCTGTCTTTAAACTTCCCCTTTGTTCTAAGTGTGCGGATAATGGAACAGGATGTCAGAGAAGCTGGTGGGGGGATGAGATTTGGCTAACACAGTGCTAGTCATCTGGGGAAAAGGATGTTGGAAAAATCACCCATTTGTGCTCTATTTATAAAGAAAGAAGGTTTTTTTGTGTGTGTGTATGTGGGCATGCAGACAATTCTTCTCCCAGAGGGAACTCTGAAGGAGAAATGAAGCAGAGGAAGTAAACATACAAAGGTATAAGCTGATTGTTAGGGAGACAGACATGTTCAGTAGAACATGGAAGAGGTACCGGAAGAAAGGCAGTTGAAGGGCCAATGGAGAAAGTGGATTGACAAAGCTCAGGAATCCTACAATATGTAGAATGGCTTGGTCTTATCAGTGTTTTGATAAGCCTGTAATTATGTAACCTATTTATCTCAACATAAACTTTTGTGATATCCTATGATGTATCTTTTGTAAAATTAAGAAGAACTCATTCTTGGAGATTGAGGAAAACCAGTGCTTAGCTGATATGCTCAAAGAAATGATTAGATTGTTGATATCCACCATGTTTTATAATGTATGCTCCTTTTTTGAAAATTGATAGTTGTAATTCTCATAAGGAAAAAAATATATATATATATAGAACTCTGAGTTCTTTCTCTTAGCACCTAACCTCCACCCAACCCCCACTCATAGACTGTTTACATGGAACTATCACTTCAGCCTCTTAAGCTGAGTGAGCTTGTCTAGTATTGAAATAGTTCCCAAGAAATTTTAGATATTATCATAACATCTGGATTTACTCAAACATTTACTGTTTGGACTATCCAAAACTGACTTTGTTGCTTAGAGAAAATATTAGTGGCATTTACAATGACTTTCTTGAATGGGCATGAATGAAATGCCTGCACAATAATCTAAAAGTATTTTCTACAGCTATGAAAGTGTGACTGACCTTCTTAGAGGCAAACTAGTCACGTTCTTGCTTTGTGTAGTGGCAGCCATTTAACCTAAGTGACTTCTGTCTTCACATTTTGGATCTTTAATCCCGTGTCTTTAATCCTATGTCTCATTCATAGAATGTGTCCCTGATTTTTGAAATATCAACTCCAAATTTAGTTAAATTCTTACCCCATTAACCAAGAGATGTTTATTCTATGATCAGGGAGGGAAGAAAAACCTATTGTCTTTCATTTTGACTGAGTATATTTCACTGCTAGGGCTTTTGAATAACAACTATGAAACATAGCGAGGTTATGTGTAGGGGCTGCCTTGCTGCCTAAAATACCAGAGTGGCAGGTTAAAGACAACATTAATGGCTTTGGGAAAATTCTCAGGTGGATACAAGGTGCCCTTGGCATGCCCTAAAGCCTATTCCCACAGCAAGAGGAATTTGCTGATTTTTAGGACTTCCAATTCTGAATATCATAAGAGAATGAACCTGGACATTTGTTCCATCTGACTTCTGACTGAAGGTTTGGAAAATACGTTTAATTAGAATCCCCTGGCTATTGCAAAGAGGAACATGTAGACACTACGTCTGCTCCATCTGAGGATTAATGGAAACCTAACATTCAGAGGTTTTCACAACATGTGCAATGTCATGTCTCTGAGAAGTGGAGATCAAACAATAAGTCTTTTAATTCTAGGAGCTTTTCAAGAAATGATGCTGTCAAAAATCAGAACTTACAAGTATATTTAATTATATCCCAACTTCCTCCTTTGCCTTCAACCTAGGAGCCAAACCCATTGTTCATGTGAACTTGCAAAACATCAACTGCTGTTTGCTAATGGTGCTATCTTAGTCCTGTCCTGAAGCCCTCCTTGAAAAGAAGGAACTGAGCTGGGTAAGGGAGGAAAGTTGTGCACTGGATAAGAACCAGCCTCTGAGGGTTTGGTCTGCTGAGGAGGAAAGATTTGAAAAGAAAGTTCTTAGGGTTGGAGGAAGGCTGCTGAGTGCCCCTGAGTGACTAGGATGAGCAAAGCACTGGGCTACTTCCTAAAGCCCTGTGTTCCAGATTGCACCAGAAACAAGGTCTCAGGCTGGACAGACCCAGCTCTGTTCCAAGCGGAGTCTGAACCGCAGAGAGCGAGCGCACAGGTATCCAAACAAGACTTCTCATGCCAGTCAGGGCCGCCTGCCCGTCTTGGGCAGCAGCACCAGAGCTCCAGGGAGTTTATTTAATATTTACTGGAGACTTCGGAGACCCAGCAGATGTTTAATGAAGTCACTATTTTGGCTCGAACTGCCCTCCCCCCTCCACCTCGGGGGCGGGGGGGGAAAAAAAGCAAACAGGTAAACATATAAATGAAAGAAGCCCACAGAGAGGGATGGGAAATAAATAAAATTCTCTCAAGACTTGTCCAGCCCATGTTGCTGGTCAGTGTGGTTTTTATGTGTTAGGATTGGGGGATGTGGAGACATGAGTATCCAGTACTTTATAACCAAAGCAATTACAAGATATTGGGTAGGGAATGTTGGCCAGTTCTGTTTAGTTTTGCATCACATTATCACTGGACTCCCTCGCCCAATCGATCGGGCACCCGAAGAGGGAGACAGAGATGTGCAGAGTTGACCAGTGTGCGAATGATAACTACTGACGAAAGAGTCCTTGACTCAGTTAGTGGTTGGATGTGGTCACATTAGTTTGCCTCTCCCCATCTCTGTCTCCCCAGCAAGGAGAATGCTCGGGACACGATGCTGAGAGTCCTGGGTAACTGTGGTGAGAATGTATGTGTGTATATCTCTGCTGCTCTGTTGCAGAAAAAGAAGTGCTTTGGACACTATCAGTAGAAAGAGTGTTATTATATTGGTGCCGAGTGGTATGTGTGCTTTTCCAATTTGTTCTTGTATTTTAATAAACTTTGAATAAAACAATAGAGTTACTCTTTGGTTCTATTTATTTTTAAATTACTTTCTAGACCTTGCCTCAGGCTGGAACACATTCACGGTTGACAAGGAAAAGAGAATCCATCACTCCAATATTTATTCCTTGGTATTCGTGGGCAAAGGAGCCAGCGATGCCAGATTATTTTAATCTCATGCTGTGTGCCAGAGTCTTCAAGGAAATCAAGACAAGTTAAAAGAAAACCTTCAGTTACTTTCCATATTTATGAACAAGGCACACACAGGATTCATGGAAAGGGGCCCGTTTAAGAAACTGGAACACACTTTGTTAAACTCACATCACAGGTTTTCTAAGTGTGATAAATGAACTTCCCAGGAAGCCGGTTGAAGCAACACAGACAAAAACACACACACACACACACACACACACACACGTCATGTATACACAGATATTATTTTTTATGTGGTTGGCAGTGTAGTGATGTATAATAAAAACATTTAAACACATTTATAAGTAAGCATTTTCCACTATGAGAAGGTGTAATGACATGAATGACAAATGGAGGCAGTGGCTTGTTAATAACAAGGGATATGTTTGTAACATGGTTAAATATGGGATTTTTGTACCTTGAAATGGTTGACTTCGCTAAAGTCTTAGTGTCTCCCAAGACTCTGAGCTTGCACGTGACTTTTTACACAAAAATTTCATGAACATCTGAAGCATCTTACAAAATATTCTAGAATTTTAATACAACATCAACATACCATTACTTTGACAATTGTTTGTTGAATTTCCATTTTTTGCTGGGCCCCGTACTAGGCCCAATATCATGTGCAAAAGCAGTATAGCTAAACTCTTACAGACACAATTCCCTAAAGAATTTATGAACAAGATTAGGTAGAGGGGAGATTGTCAGATTAGGTAGAGGGGAATAAAGGGAGGGGAGGGGCTATGGAGGTAGAATAGTAGAATGAATCAGACACTATTCCCTATGTACATATCTAACTATACAGTTGGTGGGATTCTACATCATGGACAACCAGAAGAATGAGAAATTATACTCCGTATGTATATGATGTATCAAAGTGCATTCTACTGTCACATATAATTAATGAGAACAACAGCAACAACAAAAACTCTAGAACTCAATCTTAAAAAATGTAGAATTTATTGGATGATAGAACCAAGCCCTGCAAATGATTGGGATAAATCTTTCCCCAGGAACAGCTGGGTCCAGGGTCTTTGAGCTGTTCAGTGGTAGATCTTTTGTCTCTGCTATTTACTTACTCTCTGATTTTTCTCTCAGACCAGTTTCTCCTTACGTTGGGTGGCCTGGCTAAGCTGCTCATTTCTGTGCGAGCTATAATATGGTTCAGATGGAGTTTGACCCTTTTCCCAGGAAAACACTTGAACTGGACCAACTGATATAATCTCCCCACTCTGTTGTCATGCATACAGGTAGGGTTTGTCATCAAAGCAACAAGGGCTGGTAACATTCAAAGGTATCAGACATTAACTTAGTGATTTTTGTGTGTGTGTTTAAAGAAATAGACTATGATTTTACAGTAGCGATGTGGAAAGGAAGGTACAATATAGAACATCCCATATATCTCCTGCCCTACACATGTATAATCTCCCTTATGATCAATATCCCTTGTCACAGTGGTAAATTTGTTATAATCAATGAACCTACTTCGACACATATCACTCAAAGTCTGTAATTAATGTTAGAGTTCACTCTTGGTTTTGTGCATTCTATGTGTTTTGACAAATGTATAATGATACGTTATTTTAGCACCACAAGCATAACATTTTCATTGCCCTTAAAACGCTGTGTTCTACCTATTCATTCCTCTCCACCCTCACCCCTGGCAACACTGACTTTTTAAAAATTGCTTCATAGTCTGACCTTTTCCCAAATGTCATATATTTGGAATTATCCAGCACCTACCCCATTCAGATTGACTTCTTTTACATAAAAGTAGGCATTTAAAGGTTCCCCCATGTCTTTTCATGGTTTGATAGCTTTTCTTTCCATCATGAATATTATCCTATTTTCTGAATGTATCACAGTTTATTTATCCATTCACCTACTGAAGGACATCTTGGTTGCTTCCCAGTTTTGGTAATAAGGAAGAAAGCTGCTATAAACACCCATGTGCCAGTCGTGATGTAGATGTAAACTTTTTGACTTTAGGTACATACCAAGGAGTGCAATTGCTGGATTGTACGGTAAGAGTCATGTTAGTTGTATAAGATGTTGGCAAACTGTCTTCCAGATGCTGTCCATCCTCATCAGCATTGGTGTTGTCTGTGTCTTTTTGCTTATTTTACCTCCTGTACCATTTTGCATTCCCGTCAGCAACAAATGAGCATTCCTGATGCTCCGTGTTCTTGTCAGCATTTGGTGGTGTCAGTTTGTCTATTTATTATTTCTAAGTATTATTTTTATACTTGGGAAGACAATTCTTTACCAGGTATTTCTCTTGCAAATATTTTCTCCCAGTCCTTGTATTTTCTTCTCACTCTTTTGACATTGTCTTTTACACAGAAGAAATTTTTAATTTTAGTGTTCAGTTTATCAATCATTTCTTTCATGGGTCATGCCTTCAGTGTTGGAACTAAAATGTTATTACTACATGTAAGATCATGTAATCTTTTCTCCTATGTTATTTTCTATGAGTTTTATGTTTTGTATTTTATATTTAAGTCTATGATCTAACTTGAGTTTACTATAGTAAAGGGTGTAAGGTTTGTAATTCTTTTTCTTTCTTCTCTCTCTCTCTCTCTCTCTCTCTCTCTTTCACAAATGGTTATCAGTTGTTCCAGCATAATTTGAAAAGACGATCTTTGTTTCATGGTTTTTCTTTTGCTCCTTGGTCAAAAAGACTAATATACTTGGGCTGGGTTGTAGCTCAGTGGTAGAGTACTTGCCTCACATGCATGAGGCCCTGGGTTCAATCTTCAGCACCACATTAAAAAAAATTAACAAATAAAGCTATTTTTTTAAAAAAAGACTGATATACTATATTTCTGTGAGTCTATTTCTAGGCCTTCTATTTACCTGCTTCTCACAATAACTGTTTTGTGTACTGTAGCTTCCCACTAAGACTTGAGAACATGTAAGGTAAGTCTTTTGACTCTATACATCTATTTCAGTGTTGTATTGGCTTTTGTGGGTATTTTGCCTCCTCATATAAATTTCAGAATTAGTTTGGTGATACACACAAAATAACTTGCTGGGATTTTGATTAGGATTGTAACAACTCTGTAAAACATTGGGAAAAAATGGACATCTTGATAATACTGGGTCTCTCTTTTCAGATTCATGAAATCTCTCTTTTAATTGAGTTCTTTGATATATTTTATCGGAGTTTTGTAGCTTTCCTCATATGGAACTTATTTTACTGTAGTTGCATCTATATTAATTTGGGGGGCCTGCTGATGTAATGATATTGTATTGACAAAGAGTGGCAAGGTGGGACATTCTTGCCTTGTTCCTGTTCATAGTGGAAAAGCTCTAAGTTTCCCAACATTAAGTTCAATGTTGGATGCAGGATTTTTGTAATTTTCCTTAACAAGTTGAGGAAGTAACAATTCATTCCTAGTTTACTGGGTTTTTTTTTAATAATTTTTATCATGAATGGGGATTGGATTTTGTCAAATGCCTTTTCTGCTTCTGAAAAAAATAAAAATGTGATTTTTTTAGCCTATTAATGTGATGGATTATATTATTATTTTTTGAATATTGAACCAGACTTCAGCCTTTCATAACTGGGATAAACCACATTTGGGATGCTGTTAAATTTTTCTTATAGGCTGGTGGATTTTTTTAAATACCTTTTTTAAAAAAAATTAGGTGTAGATGGACACAACACAATACCTTTATTTTTATGTGGTGCTGAGGATTGAACCTGGGCCCCACCCATATTAGGCGAGCACTCTACCGCTGAGCCACAATCCCCAGCCCCTAGGCTGGTGAATTTAATTGGGTAAAGTCTTGTTGAGTATTTTTTTTTTTTTACTTATATTCAAAGAGATATTGGTTTAAGGTTTTCTTCCAATGTCTTTGGTCATATAATTAATTAGGAGGTTTCTCTCCCCCTTTATCCATTGAAAACAATTTTAGCAAATTGGTAAAATTTCTTCCTTAAATATTTGGTAGAATTCACCAGTAAATCCATCTGAATCTGTTGTTTTCTGCTTTCGAAGGTTATTAATTACTGATTAAGGTTATTTAATAAATATAGACTATTTAAATTCTTTATTTTTCTTCTATGATTTTTTGCATATTTCATATTCTGAGGAATTGGTCTATTTCATATAGGTTATCAAATTTGTGAGCATAGAGTTGTTCACAACATTCCTTTATCATACCTTTAAGGTCCCTTCTTTCATTTCTGATAATTATTATTTTGTACTCTTCTCTTGGTGAGTCTGGCTAGAGGTTCATCTATTTTATTGATCTTTTCAAGGAACAGCTTTTCATTTCTTTGATTCTCTTTTGTTTTTCTGTTTTTAGTTTCATTGATTTCTTATTGTTTCTTTTCCTCTATGTACTCTGGATTTGCTTTGGTCTTCTTTTCTAGTTTCTCAGGGTGGGAATTTTGATTACTGAGTTAAGATCCTTGTTCTTTTCTAGTGTATGCATTTAATGTCATAAAAATCCCTCTTAAACACCACTCTCATGGCACCCTCAAAATTTCATTTTAATTTAGTTCCAAATATGTTTTGATTGCTTGTGAGATTTCTTCTTTGACTGGTGTATTGTTCAGAGTTAGATGGTTTAATCTTCATGCCTTTTGGAATTTTCCAGTTATCTTTCTGTTATTTCTGACTAGTTTAATTATACTGTGATCTGAGAGTGGACATTGTATGATTTTTAGTCTTTTATATTCTGAAAGTATATTTTATGGCCCAGAATGTGGCTTATTTGATAAGAAGTCCAAGGTGGTGAGCTCGAGGAAAATGTGGTATTCTGCTGTTATTAAATGAAGTAATCTATGGATATAAGTTATCCAATTGATTGATGATGGT